TTGCCTCCTCTGTCCTAGGTAACACATAAAACTCTGGACTGTATTTTATAAATAAAAAGATTAAGGCACAATGCTGTCATCATGGAATTCACAGTCCACCAAGAGAGACAGACACATGAGACAAAAAGTGATGCTCCTGAGTGATGAGAGCAATAAGTGAAGGGTATGCAAATGCTACAGGTACATGGGAGGGGAAGGAATGTTTCTTGGGAAGGGTGGGTGAAATAATCATAGAAAATGACAGAAAAAGTGGCATTTGAACTGAGTCTAAGAAGTTTCCCTAGCACCTAGGGCCTAGGGTGGAGAAGGGCATTCCAGGCAGAGGGAATCACATGAGCCCAGAACAACGTGTTCAGGGAAGGCCAGGGTGAGGAGTGGCTGCAGGGCAAGATGAGAGGTGGGCACGAGGTGGGCAGGAGGCAGTGGGAATGACTGGTGCCAGGCAACAAAAGCCTTATAGCCCACTGGAGAGTTGGAGATTATTCAGCAGGCGATGATAGGAGATTTTTATCCAGGGAAATGCCATGATCTGAACTTTACCTTGGAAAGATAACTCAGCTGAGTGATGGACGGAGGTAGGAGAACAGAGACCAGGAGGCTAACACGCACGAATTTTCACCTCATTCACAACACCACTTTCAGAAACTGCAGCCTGACTGACAAGGCTATGGCTGCATAACTCAGTCAGGCTTCTTTTAGACCTCCAAACAATGAATCAGTCCTCATATGTAAGGCTTCTTGGGAAATGGCCATAAAATGTGCAGTAAAAAGAAAGATAAATAATATTCCTAAAATTTAATTAATTTCTCTTTCGTTTTGCTTGGTTTAATGTTATGCTACACTCTTGATGGGGACAATCTAGACATTGTTCCATTAGTATATTTCACTTTTATATGAAGCCTCACAATTTACTGATTTTATTTAGGGTAATGCACTAGTATTTGGCATATTTATATCATTCTCATTTATTATTGAAAGCAATGTTATGTTTAGGTATTGAGGATCAATAAGACCTCCATAATGTTTATACCATCTTTTATGGCAAGCTCAGAGTATTTCAGGTTTGTTTTTATAGGTGGTTTTCCAAAAGGCAACTTTATAGCCTTTACTCTGTTGTGGGTAAAAAATTGGTTTGCAAAAATTCCTTGACTATGTTTGCCAAAGTCTTAATGGGACCACACAGAAACATGGAAGAAATTTTGAGTAACTATTTAGAGTCAGTGGTTTTGTCACTTGTGTTGCCTTCCACTAATGTATACTAATTGTCATATGGAAATTTTAATGCAAGCTTTTTTGTCTTCCTTCCTTTCTCCCTCCCTCCCTCCCTTCCTTTCTTCCTTCCATCTTTTCTTTTTTTCTTTGTGGAGGTGACAGTTACTTCCAGGAATGTTTCACATCTTTGACACTACCTTTCAATACTTACAATTACTAAACGACAAATCAATGACTGAAGATTGAATATGTCAATCTTCACCTATTGTACCAAGTGTATAACTGTAATCAATATAACAAACAAGAACTCATGAGGTACAATTAGCATACAAAGTTTTTTTGGCCCATCATCCCTTTAAAACTTATTTAGGGTGAAGGTCTTCCACTCTCCCTGGATGGAGAGATAAATGTCTTACGACTTATTCTTAGTTTAAAAATGTCTGTTAAAAAAAAGTCGTATATTTTAATTTATGTTGTACATGAAATTGCTGTATTTGTAGGTCAAAAAATGATCAAATAGCAACACTTTTCTATGGTTCAACCTAAATTAAAACCAACAAGGCAAACCATCAAAGTTTATAGTTAAATCTTCTCTCCTCCCCCTACTAAGGCTTACTTAAAAGAATATTAAAATGCCAATTATAGAAAAAAGTTTCATTAAATGTCCACCCATCAGAGAAAAATATAAAATGCATTCATTATGATATACACATTTATTCAACAAGTGCTCATTGCGAGCCTCCTATGTCACAGCAAAGCTCTGTGCTGGCCACTGACAAGGATAAAAAGATGATGTAAAGTCTTTACTCGTGAGGTGCCTGTAATCTAGAGGATGCAGCGAACACAGACACAGACACACATACACACACACACACATATAAACATAATAATGCATTAGTCCAGTGTTTTGCAATTTTTCACCTGTTTAAGAATTATGTGGATTGATTACTTAAAATGCAGGCTCTAAAGCCCCACCTTTGGAGACTCTTGATTCTGAAAGTCTCGGCTACAGTCCCAGCAGCTCAGGGATTCAGAAGCAGGAATTCCATGAGCCACAGTTGGAGAAACACTGCATTATACAGAAGCTCCATGAAGCCAGTGGCCCTGTCTATCTTATTCTCCGTGATTATCCAAGTCCTAGCACAGAGCCTGGTACACAGTAAACTCTCAGGAAAAACATTTGAATAAGTGAATGAATGAGTATAACTAAGCTCCACAATGAATGATACAAACAAAATATGAAAATGTGACATAAAAATTTAGCAATTGAAGCAGCTCCTCTCTCTTTAGGAAGGAGGTACACTTGGATGAAGTCAGTACATACTACAAATAACACAGTGCCCAGAGTCGCATTCTGAAATCTTCTTCTCTGTGGAATGGGGTCCTGGAACTGAGTAAATGTGACCTGACTCTTCCCCCTCAGAGTAAGTTCATCTCCCTCCCATTCACTGGTAGCATCTGGATCCCAAGGGCTGGCCCCCATTCATCTGAATAGAGTCATTGTTCCCTCTGAGAAAGATATATAACTCCATGAAGCTCACCCCGGCAGGCTACAATTCCTCTGGTGGCTAGGCAAAATAGCTCCTCTATTAGGACTCTCACTAGAGAAATGTAAAATTAATCATTGTTCTAATAGTTAGAAATATCAAAATTGCAGCAGAATGGGTTGTGCACATAAGCAATTGATTATCTATTTCTTTACAAAACTGAGTCACTGCACGGAGCCCTACTGAAGCCGTGATTATTATTCTAAAATAGTCTTGCAGATTTTCTTCTTGAAGTTCTGGAGCAACTTCAAACACGTCACAGCTGCAATAATTTCCACAAATAGCTACAGATAAATTATTTTTTTAAAGTAAAATGGATAAATGAATTTAAAAGTAAAAATCAAATATTCAGATGATTAAAAATATTAGAAATTAAAAAACATTCCAAGAATATTATTAAATTTGGAAAGAGAGGATTGGATAAGAAGGTAAAATAAGGTGGACTAAAGAGGTGGGAAGGAAAAAAGTACATCATAAGGAAAAGTGATGAGAGAGCGGAGAGCTGTGGATTCCAGGTATATCAGTGCAGGGAATGGGGCACCAAGAGGCCTGGGCTGGTACCAGCCAACGAGCTGGCCTAGGAAGGATAGGGACAGTCATGATGACATGGAAAGAACTAGAGACCTACTATTTAGGGACATCAGAAGGACCAGCTCTAAAACTTGTCCAGAAGTAGAGCTCTCAGAAAGGAAAGAACACTGGACTGCAGTTGGAGAGCTATGTGTTCTGATCTGCCATCAACAAGCAAGGGACCTTCAACAAGTCACTTAGCCTCTCGTCTTCTCTCCATGAATTGAGATTTGGGGCTAAATGACATCTAAGATTCCTTCCTGCTTTAATTTTATGGCTCTATGAAATCTTATTGACTGAGGAGAGAAAGAACAAAGGAAGAGAGGAAATGAGGAAGGGAGAGAGTTTTGCCTGTAGCAAGAAGAGATACAGTATCTTCTTTAAACTTCTAGTAACTCACTTGGGAAGATCAATTGTAGATGAGAAATTTGCATCCAGGAAAATTTACATTTTGTGATGTGTAAAAGTCCATTTTATTATAATAATTTTACACTGATTTCAAGAAGTTCTCTATTGTCCAATAGGATATAGACAACCTTACCCCTCACCTGCTCTCTAAAGAGACTTGTTCAGCCTTGGGACACAGCCATATGACATTTCACTTTGAGGTTTGAGTCTAATTTGCAATCTTCAAGTACCATCCTTTGGGGAAAATTTATGATATATATATTTATACGTATACATATACACACATATATATGTATATATATCTATACACATACGTGTGTGTATTTATGTGCCAATTTTAGTGTGGGTGTGATAGACACTGATGCAGTCAGACCACTTTTTCAGTGCCTCAGAAAATTTCTTCACAAGTAGAGCTGTCAGAGAGAAAAACAAAGAGCACGTGCAGTTCTAAAGTCTCCTGTGCTCTCCTATCTTCCCCAAACCGCGGAACAACCATTTGACTCTGACTCTCGTGCTCATTCCTGCCCTTAAGGCACTGACCTCACTCTGACATTTAATTTGCCTGTTATCTATTATGTCTCCTTTATATTTTAAGCAATATGGCCATATAAGTTTAATACACATTAGAGTAATTAAATCCAAACTCTGTCTAAAGTGGAGGAGCCACATGAGAAGTTCCACTTCATTTAGTGGCAATAAAGGAGCTGTGTTTAGACGTGTTTAGCATCTCCCCAGATACTCATGGGGAGACCATTTTAAAAAACTATTTGACTTACTGCAGCTAAAGCATAGAGCATTTGCTTTTTGCTTAAGGAAAGAAATTATTAAATATAGGGAAAAATGGGCTTTAAGCAATATCCTGTGGGCAATTCTTAATTTATTTGTATAATATAAGAAAGGTGATTATAATGTGATGCGTTCTTTGGGATGTCAGATTAGTTTCTACAAATTCTGAAACCCTGCTCTGAAGTTACCACACTTATTTTATAATTAAGAATTCAATTATGATTTTACAGAGATCTAAACAGGATGTTTTCCAAGAGCACTGAAAATGGCAGCTTTCATAAAATTTTCTGTTTAGAAAAAAACATGATCTGCCAGTAATGTCCTTTTCATCAGGAATAAGAACAGGAATACGGAATATAAAATTCATCCTGAATTTTAGCTGTATTGATTAATTGATTTTCAGAATATTTTGTTTTATTAAAAATCTATGCATTTTTATCTTTAGGATAACAGAAATCAAAACACAGAGTCACATACCTGTGTCTGTTTAGGACCAATATCCATTCTTTTAAGAAGATCATTTAAAAAACCTGTAACACTTTCCCAGGGGTAAATACTGTTGGAACCATCCAGCACTATGACTATGTCCAGCTGAGTGCTGCATTCTGCAATAAAACAAGTCAATTGAGCAAATTTGGAGTCTATCTTTTTAGAGGTATATGAAGTGTTTTCTTGGCTGATAGAAGCTCAGTTTAAAAGATTAACTGATGTTCTACAAACTAGACACATTGCTTTTATAATCAGAAAAAATAGTTTTAGAAAAAGTACAGGTGATAAATGCTATTGCATTCAATAACGATTTGTTTGGGGTTCTTATCAAGTAAAACGCATCTCTGTTTAATTTTAATTCACATTAAGTTTCTCTGGAAATTTTCTCAATATGAATTCTATATAACAGTTCTCATTCTGTTGTATTTCAAATGAGGTTACTTTCCTCAAAGAGATTCACCCTTTAAAGATTTTATTTATTTTATTTTTTTCCCCCCAAAGCCCCAGTGGATAGTTGTATGTCATAGCCGCACATCCTTCTAGTTGCTGTATGTGGGACTCGGCCTCAGGATGGACGGAGAAGTGGTGCCTCGATGCGCACCCGGGATCCGAACCCGGGCCGCCAGCA